GAGGTACAGCACTCGAGTTTCATGGTAGGCTGGTACCTGTACCCCGAGATTTCTCTTTTCAGCCTGTTACTGTACCAGTCATGCTCGGAAACGTGCACCTTTTGGTTCGTCAATTTAGCTTCGTGTGAACTGGTGGTTTAATTGTCAATGATTAAAATCTCTCAGACCCAAGACACTAGCAAAATTTGGTACTCAACTGTCATCATTCTTATCGCATCGACCATTCTGCATTCACAAATAGAGGCAATCGTCTTTCTGCTGTCAGCTCCATACTATGATACTGTGTGGACAAACAAGACAAGCTCCCTTTGTTGGGTGAGTTGAACACTTTGCAATCAAACACCAGAAATACTGGGTAATTGCCTTCCCCTTTGCAAAAAGAATTATAGAATGACGGAATCCTGAGTTGATCATCAAATGTGTATCATTAGCAGATCACAATTGGCGCATAGAACTTGTTCATCATAACGAGGTTCAGCAAGATTGGGAAACATTTAGCACCGCAAGCAGCTGAAACTCACCGGGGAGAGGGCCTTTGATGGAGGTGCTGTTCCCGAGTCGGGCCCAGAAGCCTCTTCTTCATCTCCTATCGGCTGATCCAGTGTTTTTCTCACTTTTTCAAGCTGGCATCATAAAAATTACAGCAACAAAAACACATAAACAGAATGGAAAAGCAAAAGCAATAAATAGTACGAATGAAAAACCTTTAGACTAAGCTCACTTGTATGTTGAAGGGGAAGGATGCCCCTGTAACATGCGGGAAGCAGAGGAGAGAGAGAGAGAGAGAGAGAGAGAGAGAGAGAGAGAGAGAGAGAGAGAGAGAGAGAGAGAGAGAGAGAGAGAAGGGAGAGGAGAGAGAGGGAGAGTGAGACGACACACACACTCACTCACTCGAAGCGACTGAGGGACGCAGACAAAGTGGCAAAGTCACAAAGTCGAAGTCTTCAATTCTCGATGCTAAAGGAGCAAGTCACACTGAGCAAGCATAGTAGCTGAAGAACTGGTTGCACGATGGTACGGGCGGCCGGTGCATATATTGGTTGGTCGTGCCATACGGGGACCGGGTCTGCAAGACCCCGGGTGCGAAACTGAAAGATGGGGATTTTGGGAGTGGTGCCAGAATGCGGGGGTGCCAAAGGAGGATTTGGAAAAAGGGCGCCAGGTCGAAAACGGGGATGCGGCAGCATCAGCAAAAGCAAAAAGAAAAAGAAAAAGAAAGAAAAACGAGAAAAAGCTGTAGGCAAGGGGTCGAGCCCTGGCTGGTTCGTAACACTATCCCCTCCCTCTGGAAGGCAACATCCCGGCTGCCAAAGACCTAATGAAAAACTGTGAAGGACGGAACGGGGCCGATCACTGGTCAGAAAAAAAAAGAGAAGGGGAGTAATGCAAGTAACATGGTAATCTTACTGATGTTCTAGAAGGGTGAAGGTATCAATGTTCAAGTAATAAGGTAATTCTGTTGGGGTTGTACAAGGATGAGGGTAGCAATGTTCAAGTAACCGGGTAATCCTATTGAGGTTCTACATGGATGAGGGTAGCAATAATCAAGTAACAGGGTAATCCTATTGAGGTTCTACATGGATGAGGGTAGCAATAATCAAGTAACAGGGTAATTCTATTGAGGTTCTACAGGTAACAGGGCAGTCCTATTGGTGTTCTACAAGGATGACGGGAGCAATGTTCATGTAACAGGGTAGTCCTATTAATGTTCTACAAGGTTATAGGCCGTCAGGTTTGAGAAAAATAAAAATAAAAATTGTTTGTTCAATGCTCAAGGGCTGGGGTGTCTGAGGGATCTGGGAAAACAAAGTCTCAGGTCTGTAACAAAGTGTCAAAAACAGAACAAGTCTTGAAAACGGTCCTCGGAGGTCTTGATCAGATCCAGGATAGGTGAGAGAACCAGTCTTCAGCGGCTACAACAGGTAGTTGTTGAATGTCCAAACTGCAGGAAAGCGAAGCAGGAGTACAAGTGTCCAAAGTCCAAGTGCTGGAGTGCGTCCGGTTCATGAACTGCAAGGAGATCTGATCCGGTAGCAAGGAAATCGCAGACTCATGCAAAGGTCCAGATCACATGTTGCTGCTCCAGTAAGTCCGCGACTCCAGATGCCGCCCAAGGAAACAGCATGGTGGCGAGCTGCACTATCTCACGAGGCAGCAGGCCATCGTCCTCGTGCGCTTGCCATTAGATCCTTTGTCGCTGGCGTCCCGCAGGTCCACAACCATTGGTCAAGAGGAACAGAGAGTATGGTAGAGGACAGGTGGGAAGGGCTAGGCTGAGGCAAGGGTGAATCAGACAGCGAGTGATCAAGATCAAGGGTAGGGGTTAGGCTGGGTTCAGGGGTGGTGTGTATAGAGTAGGTATGTACAGGTCGAGGCACAGGCAAGTAGATAGCTATGATACAGGGTGGGTACGATCATAGGCACGAACAAGTCTCATGGTGTTCTTTAGATTTGCAAGGGGTTCCCATGTTGATTCTTCATCTAGGTATCCAGTCCATTTTACTTTGTATTCTTTGATAGGCGTGGGGTGGTTGGATACTCGAGTTGTTCTACGACCGATGATTGATTCCACGGAGAATTCAGGACAGGTGGGAAGAATGATAGGTGATGGACGACGATGAGGGCGATCAGAGAACTGAGGAGGTGATTCGTGGAATTCTTTCTAGTAATCTACATGGAAGACAGGATGGACACGGTTCATGTCAGGAGGGAGTTGGAGCTTGTAGTTCACAGTGGATGTTAGTTCATTGATGGGGAATGGACCGAGCCACTTGTTCGAGAGTTTCTTGGACAGGCCTTGTTCGGGATCAAAGCGTTTGGCAGAGAGCCAGACTTTGTCCCCGACATGGAAAGTGACGTAACGGCAATGTTTGTTCGTTTGCTTGGCTTGTTGTTCCTGAGTTCGCTGAATAGATTCAGTGGCTTCTCTTAGGAGGCGGTTCATTGTTGCAGCCCATTCATTGAGGGAGGGACAGGGAGTGGATGGGTTCAGCTGCAAGGGGAGCAAGAAGTCAAAGGGCAAGTGAGGATGGTAGGTAGCCAAGGTCGAGGTAGAAAGGAGACATGCCAGTGGAGGGGTAGATGGCGTTGTTGTAGGCGGTCTTGGCAGCGGAGAGGAGTTGGTCCCAGTCATGCTGATGGGGGTGACAATACTTCCGGAGGATGTGTTGGAGAGTATCGTTGTCGGCGCAAATACCCTTGCAAGGGTATCCGCCCTGATAGAAAAATAAGTTTGGTGGAAGATTTGAGCACCCCGAGAGGGTCGCGGTGGAGTTTCATTTACACTGACTGAGTGGTTGACCAGAAATAGAGAGTGCGTGGGCGCGCGTGATGTTGTTCTTATTGATATTACAGAGCCTGCATTTTCGCCGGCCAAGCTTCCGACTTTCATTAAAATAGGACTAAGCATTTTTCTTCCTGTTGTTTTAACCAATACGTGTGAACGCTTATGCGGGAGAACGACGTCGGCGACAATGTCGCTCTTGAGCAGCAATGGGAGTGAGGGAGTAGAACACGGGCGGAGCAGCCGCGAGGTAGGCGGAGGGCTTGACGTGTGTGGGTTTAGTCAATAGACAGGAAGAGTGATATTGGAGTGTTCAGCGGACCTACATGCATAGCGGTGCCCGTTCATATGGGTTTCCGCTAGTGCTAAACTCGGCCTAGCACTATTGGTTACGACATTGGACTTTCAAAGCGGAAGTATGGGGATCGACGGCGGCGACCGGCAGCAATGGAACATTGGAGCGGTTGAAGATGCCAAGAGGTTGAGGGCCCGGTGGGGCTATCCCCCTTGGTTTTGTTGTCAGTGTGGGCCCAGTCGACATAACGAAAAGGGGTGCCTACGGTCTCCCTTCCCCAAACCACGAATTTGTGATGCGCACATTTTTGTTTTTACCTCTATTTTTACTTTTCTTTAGTTAGTTTAGTTGTCTGTCCCATTTATGGGACGCGACACCAGTATTGGCACCAGGGTCGTTGCGGGGACCAGCGAGCGTAGCTCAACTGATACACCCATGAACTTTTGAAACACGGGGCAAGGAGTGCATGTGAGCCGGTGGGTGATTGGCCCATGAGGCAGAAGAAACCTGAGTGGCGAGGGCCCTTCGCGGGGCACCATCCGCCAACCACATTCTGTTGTAAGAGGTTTTAGTGTGAGCATGCCATCGGGCCCAGTGAGGTATGGGACCAGTCGCACGGGTGTATCGTGCGACTGATGTCCTAAATATACTATTTGTGTGCTCTTTTGTCAGCAGCCTGTGCGGTCGCGGGACAAGGGAATTTGTGGCCACCAGTTCTTGCACCATTTGTGGATGGCGCCATGCGACCAGCAAAGTACCGAATCGCCACTACTACAGACGGCCAGGGCCCTGGTCCATCTGAAAGGTACAACAGTGTGACCTGAACCATGCCCAAAACCTCGAATTGGCCTGTCCCAAATCTGCATATTTTGCATATTTGGGATCGCAGTGTGAGCATTCCCGTTGGGACCAGAAAGATGATGAACTACGGTTGAGCAGGGTGTGGCCAAAGGGAGTGCCAAAAGAGGCTGCAGCGGCACTGGCGTACAACCCGTTCGCCTGACCGGGGTATAGAAACGAAAGACTAATCAGGCCGCCTTGTAGCAGGTCCCCTCCAAAGCTTCCCGCAAATTAGCTGAAGTCGCAGGGCATTTAGCGCATGACAGTATGACTGTGTGGTGTAAGGCGGAGCGGGCACTGGCGGGAGCAGGGAAGAAGGAGACGAGGTGGGAAGAAAGACAACGGGGAATAAACTTAGCGAAGGAAGAAAAGGAAAACGTGAACCTGGACGCAGTTTGCGTCGGGGGCATAGACGAAGGCGGACATGGTAGAGACGAGTTTCGGCAAGTTAGAAGGATGCATGGCCCAAACATTTTTTAGTAGAAACAGGCGTGGAAGGAGTTGATCACGGGGTTTTGGCCCTGGCCAAATTGAATGGTAGGCTCAATACAACCGGTAAGTTAGTAGTTTGAGAGTTAGTAAAGAAACGGGGTGCGCGAAGGTGGCGGGAGAGCAGCTATTGCAAAAGGCGAAATTTCAATATTTCGCTCAAATCGCTACAGAATCGAACGAACCAAGACACGATTCCGGGGTTCTAGGACCTCTCGAATCGATCTATAAAGTTAGATCGATGAGACCGGGGCCCGAAATCGCAGCACGAGCAGTAGGAGCTACGCCCCCACTATGGGAAATGTGAAGAATCAGTATGATGAGATTGTATCTGTCCGAATTGAATGGTAGGCTCAATACAACAGGTAAGTTAGTAGTTTAGGAGTTAGTAAAGAACCGGGGTGCGCGAAGGTGGCGGGAGAGCAGCTATTGCAAAAGGCGAAATTTCAATATTTTGCTCAAATCGCTACAGAATTGAACGAACTAAGACACGATTTCGGGGTTCTAGGACCTCTCGAATCGATCTATAAAGTCAGATCAATGAGGCCAGGGCCCGAAATCGCAGCACGAGCAGTAGGAGCTACGCCCCCACTATGGGAAATGTGAAGAATCAATATGATGAGATTGTATCTGTCTGCGTGTTGGCGAAAGATTCATTTCGATATTTGCTCGTCCAGTCAATGGAAGTAGCGTGAGGCCAATCGCGGGGTTGAAGA